ACAGGACAGCCCCCCACAAGAAAGAGAGAATTTACAGAGGGGAAATGACTTGTCAACTTGGTGAAGCCCTGCATATGTAACAGACAAATCAGGTGGGTGAAATTGAATGCCATTCTAAGCCCAAGTAATTGATAGAGAAAAGTTGTAATGGAAGACCAGTCTGGACAGGAGTAAGTATACTGAGTTTGAGATAAAGTCACGGCCTCAGAATATATTGAGTCCATGTTGTCACATTTTCTATAAATACAAATGGCAAAAGTAATCTTAATATATATGATTTAAAAGTTGAAATTAACTATAGCCATATCCTCATCCCCAGTTGCCATCAAAGAGCTAAATCTGGATGTGAGGCTCTGAAGGTGAAAGCAAGAAACTATCAGCAGTTTGGAGTCCTTTATAAAAATGTCTGGGTTGGTGGGAAGAGGGTAGTGTTTATAATAGTTGTATCTTGTATAAATATTTAAAGTTTGAAAAATCAGTTTCTTTTTACAGTTATTTTTCCAAGTTGAGTGTGATATATTTTTCATGTGTCACATCTCTGTAGAGGGGTGTGTGTGTGTGTGTGTGTGTGTGTGCGCGCGTGTGTGTGTGTGCGTGTGTGTGTGTGTGTGTATGTGTATGTGTATGAGTTAGTAAAAAGAATCCTGCTCCGGCTCAGCCTGTACATATGAATTTCTTTTTTTGGTACTTCACTTACCAGTTTTTAGTTGGTCTGCTCTGCAACCTTAGCTGCTGCCTATCATGATGACTCTTTGTCATTGGAGTCTCAAATCTTTCTTGGTTTCTGAAGGAAAAAACGAAATTCTATTCAGTCTGTTTAGTTTCACATATTCAGAATTACAGAATCTTGGAGTTGGAGGAGAAGCTCTACCTCATCGAGTCCATTGGAATCATACCGTATTTGATTACTCCTGTGTTAGTCTCTAAGGCTACTGCCAGTTACCACAAACTTGATGACTTAAAGCACAGAAGTTTATTCTCACACAGTTCTGGAGGCCAGAAGTCCAAAATCGAGGCGTCATCAGGGCCACACTCCTTTCTTTGTCCTTTCCAGTTTCTGGTGGCTCCAGGCATTGCCTGGCTTATGGCTGCACAACGAAGCTCTGCCTTTACCTGCACTCCACCTCTTTTCCCTTTGTCTCTCCTCTGTGTTTCCTTATTATGATACTTACTAGATTTAGGGCCCATCTGAATAATCAAAAACGATCTCAACCCAAGATCCTTAACTATTTTAGACCTTTTCATCAAATAAGGTCACTTTCACAGGTCCCAGGGATTAGAATATGGACATAGGTTTTATGGAGGCCACTATATAACCCACTACATCCACTGAATACATGTCCATTGTTTGTGTTTGTCGCCCTTCTCTGCTTGGCTGCCTCTAACCAAGATCTTTAGGATTTTGAATAGCTTTGTGGTGAAATCAATCTCCTGTAACGTATATACCATCCACTTTGGTTCTCCCTGCTTGAAGCCATGCAGAACAAACAATTCTTTTTCTCTCTGAAATTCCTTCATTTGTTGTCCCTGAGACTTCTGTCCTCCAGGCCGAGCACCTCTGGTTCCTTCAACAATTTCACTCAATATTGACTCCTGTTCCCCTAATCATCATGGATGTGCTTCTCTAAAGCATTCAGAGTCAATAGAGAGAATATTGAATTTATTATTGAAGACCTAATACTGAGGCCCTGTCTCTTCCACTTACCAATTAGATGACCAAGGCAAATCAGTTTATTTTAAATAACAATAATACTGACTTCTTCATTATTTCGCTACATACTTTTATAGTCAAATGAGATTGTTATAAATGTTCTTTAGAAACATCACCTTTAAGTAAAGATGCAGGTGTTTTTCTGTCTATTTGTAAAATACTTTCACTCCCAGAACTGAACATAGGTCTCCTGGTACAGTCTAAAGTGGTACAAAGTAGTTGTCACTGTCATGTTCCCTAGCTGAGCTGCTCTGCCTCTGTTACCAGAGCCTGGGATTGCATTCACTTTTTTGGTAGTCATCTCATAATTCTTAACTCATATCGAAATTGTTCTGTGCTAAAGAGTTCCAAATCTTTTTCACAAATAACTTTTTTTTTAAAAAAATTCAATAAATATTTATTGAGTTTCTGCTAGTAGCAGTGCTAGACACTTGACAGAGAGGAAAAGAGGAACAAAATAAAACCTGTTTCTGGCCGGGTGTGGTGGTTCACGCCTTTAATCCCAACACTTTGGGAGGCTGAGGTGGGCAGATCATGAGGTCAAGAGATGGAGACCGTCCTGGCCAACATGGTGAAACCCCTAAACATACAAAAAGTAGCTGGGCATGGTGGTGCACACCTGTAGTCTCAGCTACTGGGGAGGCTGAGGCAGAAGAATTTCTTGAACCTGGGAGACGGAGGTTGCAGTTAGCCAAGATCACGCCACTGTACTCCAGCCTGGCAACAGAGCAAGACTCCGTCTCAAAAAAAGGAAAACTTGTTTCTGCCCTCTTGAAGCCTACGATATCATACAAGAGACACACATTAACCTAGTAATCACACAGTGAGTGTAAATTTACAATCTGAGACAGACTGGAAAAAGAAAGGGTTGCAAACTGATCTAAGCCAATTTGATAGTTCACAATGATACAACTGTTTACAGTAGATAAAGGTGGGCTCTGATAATTAAGATTGGAGGTCTGCAGTTCTCCCCACTAACCTCTTCACCGCCAGGTATTAGTTATGGTGACAGTAAGCCTCAGATGGAATTCTGTCACACACGTAATCTATTTATTGCTTTCTAATTCAGTGATTTTTCTACCATTTATAGAAACAGCCACAAGATATGGTTCAAATAAGGCGCTGCAAAGACAGTAGAGTCAATTTTTGAATTTTCAATTTCAAAATTTAACTTAACTTGAAAATAGTATTAGCCATTTTAATTGAATATAACACTAAATTGCATTGACTCTTCATAGGAAATATATAATTCATCCTCCAATTAAGAGTCCTTTTTGTGGTGTTATGGATCTGCTTCTGGTTTTACTCTAATGACCGCATTCTAATCTAAAGCTTCCACAGCTTGCTAATGTAATTCTCCAACTATATTGAAATGAAATTTCTTTGGTTCATATCTTGTGTCCTGATGATAGTAGGTTTCATCCTTTAAAATGGATTCCATTTTTCAAGACTGGTGGATCTATAAATCTGTGTACTTTTGCAAAGTAAGATGAACATGTGATAGTTAGAAGCTATTATATTATTCAACTTCAAGTGACCTATTAAGAATTTGAAAGCAATATAAAATGTAAATTCCGTCCTAATATTTGATCTGCCTTTGCATTGCCTTTTTTGAATCATACCTTCTGGCTTTTTCTATAAATAAGTCCCACTGAAGTCATAATAAAGCCCAGTGTTGTGAAATCAATTTTTTAGGAATGTTGTAGCTTCATTTTCAATGTATGCTGATCTCAGTTTACTCTTGTAACATATAAAACGGTTTCTAGATTTATACCTTGAAAATGGAGATAGCTATGAGTTGGAGAGCTGTTTAGTTAGTCTACATATGAAGCTTATAGAATAACAGCTACACAGCACAGAGGTTTAGAACTATAGTAGATTTTCTCTAAAGTTGCCCCTGTTAGGTATTTGCAAATGTGTCCTTTCTTTGCAGGCTACCCCATCTGAATTTGAATGATTCCCAGACATCTTGCAAAAGCCTGGTGTTGCACTTTGCTTATCCTGAATTTGCTGTGCTGTCATTTTTATGCATCTCAATTTGAGGCCAAACCACATGTCCTAGTTTATTTTTTACTGTTTCAATTAAATATAAAGCTCTGTCTTCTTGAAGGGTGTGTGAAGCATTTGGTGTTCCTTTAGTAGAGAATAAATACAGCTCATGACCTTGCTGACTCACCGGTGCCTATAATTTTATAGCGTAACAGATTTACCTTTTGGATATTATATAGCCAGCAACTCCTGAGAATTTAATATAAAGGCTTTAAATTCTATTTCCTTTATTTTATTTTTCCTAGAAAATAATATCCACCAGGCTTTATAGAATGTATCTTTTCCTCAGGCAATTAAAAGACAATTGAAATTAAGACTAACAATTGTCACCTATCATTCATTTCAATAAGATTATTTTATTCTTGAGAATAACGGTATATCATGAAACTAAGGAAGATGAAGTTTTCTTCTTGACCCTAAGTAGTAATTGATCTGTTTGTAAAGAAATCTGTATCAGTTACTAAAATTTTTGCTTGGTCTTGAGAATCGGAAAACAATGACTGGACTATAAGTATGCTCTAACCTTTCCTTCTTCATTTTCAGGTATAAAGAAGGGGAATAGCGAGGGGAGTTACTCTCTAAAATAACTCATTATCTTTCTGAAGATCCAGATGGCATGCCTTTGTTGCTCTAGTGAGGCAGGTTAAAATGGAAGGTCATGTATGAGAGCTTTATGGCACGAGCACATTGCCTTAGAGAAGTTGCATCCAAGTAGCCATCTCTGCAAATATGAATGAATGTTTTAATGAATTTTGGCTCCTATTATCACTGTTGATTTCACTGGCCACCTTAAAAGAAACAAATCTTATATATTGTTTCTAAGTCTGATTTTTTTTTCCCCTTCCTAATCTTCCTCTCCCCTTTAGTAGAAGTTGAGATGTCAGGTCCAAGATATTGGAGGGAAAATATTCTATGATCTTAATCTTAGCCAAGGTGGCCAGTTTGTGATGTGTAAATAGGAATCAGCGGCCTCAACTCCTTGGGGTGGGTGGGTCACTTTCTTAAACATTAGTTCCTTGTTCTGTTACCTATTCACTTTTTCTTTTGAAAGAAGGCAGCCATTGTTCTGACTTAATTAATATTATGAGACGTTAGTAGATTGCAATGACTATAACTAGGTGACTTAGTCCAATTCTTCAGATGTTTTTGCTGTATCTGAGAAACGGTAGCCTCTGTCGACAACTTGGAGGTTGTGTTTACTCAGTTTTTGAAAATTTCTGATCCTCTTTACCTTTCTTAGGTTTCCACTGTATCCAAAAGGAGGGGAGAAGTTGCAATTTGATTATGGTGTCTATCTTCTGAACAAAAATATAGCACAGGTAAGTCTCTATTCTTCACTTTTCTCCTACTTCCCATGTACAGCCTATTTCCTTAGATTGTGAATCCTTTTTCTTTATAAATATGTACTGAGGTTGACCATTTTATTTAACCAGTTATGTTAGTAATACATGGTTCTTTTTTTGACCACAGTCTTTTTCCAAGGCCTTAACATGACTACAGAGAAGCAATGAATACAAATTGGAATTCTCCTGCTAAACTCAGAATCTCTTTCTGTGTTTTTACTTGCTGGTAGACTGTACTTGGATGTGTGGGCTTTATAATCTCTTGCCTCTGCAGCTTGACCAACTGTAATTTTATTTTCTTAGACTATTTCTAGGGACTCATTTTGCATTGTTGTTTATGGAGTAAAAGTTCAATGCCTTTGCAAGTACGTCATGGTCTCCTCACTTTATTATTCAGTCTGTCTTGGATTTCTGTGGCACTCTCGACATCACATCAGTTAGTATCCCACTTGAATAATATCTTTCCACATGCCATAGTAAGACTATCAGATGCGTGGGTTTGTATTTTCCTGAAAGAAATATGTAGCATTTCTTTAGCACTTTTGGCCGTCCTTGAAGATGTAAACATTCCGTAAGTTCTAGTTACAAAGGAAGACTAGCTTCCTTTGTTTATTTTTATAAATAAGTGCTTTGTTTTGTTTTCACTGGACATCCTTCAAATGGAATATCACATGATGAGTGTCCACAATTTGACTGTTATTTAAAGACATCATGAGCTGTATCCTCAGACCTTTTGGTTTTACAGAAGTAATGATTTGCGATGATTTTGTTTTTATGAGCCATTTATCCACATGACTCTAAAGACTTGCTGAACATTCTCTTATTAATTTCTGATCAGTCTAGAATTATTCCTCTATGTAGTGTCAGCTGCCATTCTTACCCTCAACCAACCTCAGTTTAATGGTGGGGATTTTTAAAATTTGTTTTTTATTGAGATTGTTCTCCTTTTCTGAAATTGAGTCAGATTTCTGGATTGCCATCCTCAATTTATCATACTTCATCCCTCACGCTCATTGCCCTCTCGACCATACTACGTTTACTGTTATTTCTGTTCCAGCTCCAGGAAAGTGGCCCTCTGACAGTCTCTGGCCCATGACTCACCTTTCCATATGCCCTTCTTCCCACAACCAATGCTTGACCACTCTCCATTTTTGGCAGACAAGTATTTCAGTCAAAGAAGCAGGGCTTTAATTCCAAGGCTGCCCAGATCCCACTGTGCTGAACACAGTTCTGTCATACAATGGAAAACACAGTGATTAGACAGAACTGGTCAAAAGTGTTCAGACTAAGGCCAGGTGGGTGGCTCATGCCTGTAATCCCAGCACTTTGGGAGGCCGAAGTGGGTGGATTGCTTGTGGCCAGGAGTTCGAGACCAGCCTGGGAAACATGGCAAAACCCCATCTCTACTAAAAAATACAAAAGTTAGCCAGGCATGGTGGCATATGCCTGTAATCCCAGCTACTTGGGAAGCTGAGGCATGAGAATCTCTTGAACCCGGCAGGCAGAGGTTGCAGTGAGCTGAGATTGTGCCACTGCACTCCAGCCTGGGTAACAGAGCAAGACTCTGTCTCAAAAACAAAAACAAAAAAAAGTGCTCAGACTAAGACTGCACTAAGGAAGAAGTAAATTGGAGATTCCCTCCAGCGAAGTCAGCCGTGGTGGAAAGAGCACACGGATACTACAGGATCGAGCGTTTGAGGGTAAAATTGACATCATTTAGTAGAACCAAGTTCTGATTTGAGTTCAGAACTTCTTTTCTTGCCCTATTTTCTCTTTCTTGCTCTAGGCACATAGGTCCTAGAGTCAGAAGGCTGTTGGAAGCTTCATGGTGAAACTTGCTCCTGCTGAAATGCCTGGATTTCCTCATATATCCAAACTTCAAACATACACATGTTGTACACACACATGCACACACACACTTCTTTCTTCTCAAGGGCCCAAAATGATGGTATACCAAAGGATGGTATAAAGTATTGCTAAGAATACTACAGCTTGCTTTGAGAGCAAGACCAAGATGGAGGCTATGTGCAGCGGAAAACTTAGCAAAGTCAGCCCTCCATATCAGACTGTTAACTCTAGGACCTGCCTGGTTCCCACTTCCCAAGAGGCCTTTGACTTTATTGTTAACTGAACCAAGGCCACAAGTATGCTGACCTAGTTTTACTCATTTGAGAAATGGATTGCTTGTAGTAACTGTGTATCTTCTCCAGCTTTATATATGCTCTTTGAAAAATTGAGAGAGAGAGAGAGAGAGAGAGAGAGAGAGAAAGAGAGAGAGAGAGAGAGAGAACAAACAGAGAGAGAGAACAAGAGGAGAGAGAGAGAGAAAAAACAATCAATAGATTTAACTACTCTGAATCCATAGGGAGCAAGTATCTTCCTCTCTGGATTTTCTTTTTTTAATCACACTGGAGGCAGTTTTAAAAGGAGGGGACTGCAAACTTCTTTAAAACTGGCTTTTTTATATTTCAGAATTTATTCAGCAAGCCCTTTTAAAGCAATTACAAACTTTTAGAACAGTTGTGACCTTTCACTTTTTTTTGCTTCAGCTCTGTCTGTTCCATCTCTCGCTGTTTCTCGGGGAAGCTTTCATTTTGTTTTTGACCTTACTGCCATCACTTTTTCACATTTTGATTTGTAACAAATAAAGAACCATTAATTATTATGGCTCCTAACCAAGCATTATAGCAATCAGATATTTCCAGCTTTTGAAGGTTTATTTTTATAGACATGTAGACTAATACATGTTGTCAAAGGGGAGTTTGTCTTCTCAGCCAGTCTCATATGTACCCCATCTCTCAAGATGTGAACAAATCATACTATTAAAATGGCCTCACCTCAGTAATTTATAAGCCACATTAGCGGAGGTGGATGAAAGCATTGGCATGTGTTAAAGTGCCAGAGAAAAAGGAGTGAAGTCATTTAATACTGCATCCATAACTTGGTTGAGGATTTGAATAGTCAATAGGACCTTTCATCACAACCAGAAGTAGTAGTAAAATCACTTTTTTGGTAGAGGAAATGACAGAATTTAGTAATATTTGTTACTTCAGTATTTGGGATCAGTCCAGCCCAAGTTTTGAAAGCACAAGCTTAGAAAGACAGGCCTTCAAATAGAAATCCTCAAGTGTTGTTTGAAGAGCGGAGAGCACTGCTGAGGCCTGCTTGCCCTCTTCATGTCACTGCTGTCTAGAGGTGTGTGTGTGTGCTGGATTAAGTACTGTGAGTGAGTGAAGCAAAATGCCTTGTTTTCAGCACCATTTATTAATATTTGTCAAGTGCCAGCCTCTTCGGTTAGAAATAGCCTTCCTTGTTGGCCAACATGTAATGCTATAGGAATGGACCTGTCAAAATTCAGGTGCAGTATAATTGACGTTGACTTTAAAAACCAGATCCTGCCATAATTTCAGTTAGTTCATAAGTACATTATATTAGAATTTGTATAGAGAACAGAAGTTCACTTTTAATTCTTAGAGCATAAAAATTAAATGTAAAACAGAAATTATAATACTTTTACCTTACATTTGTGGAGAGCCTTACGGTTTGTAAAGTACTCATGCATGTATATATTCACATGATCCCCATCATCACCCTGCAAAGTAAAAAGGGCAGATACTATTAAGTGGATTTGAGGACAGCTCAGCTTTTGACATTTGTCACTCCAGTGTAGTATCACATAATTTGATAGGTGTGGTAGAGATCCCCTTACTTTTATACACTTCACTGTTCTATATATTTCCATCCTAAAAGTACACCAAATCAAAGAAGATGATATTCCCAGACGGAAAAGGAAGCAAACATTTTTTGAGAATGGAGACAATAACTATTTTGCACATCATGATATTTCTGTTAGCAAGCACGATGCCAGAAACACTGTAAGTTCTAAAGAAATTAATAATACATGATAGGTGATAAAACACCATTACACAAGTTAAGAAACTAAGATCTAGAAAAGTTAAGTGACTTTAATGAATTTAAAAAATTGTGACACACACACACACACACACACACACACACGTGGAATATTATTCAGCCTTTGAAAAGGACATACTGCCGTTTGTGACAACACGGATGAACCTGGAGGACATGCTAAGTGAAATAAGCCAGACACTGAAAGACAAAGACTGTCTGATCTCAATCATATGCAGAATCTTAAATTTAAAAGTTGAATAAACGGAACAGAGAGTAGGATGGTGATTTAGTGGGAGGAAGGGGAGGAAACAGGAAGAAGTAGGCTAAACGGTATACAAATTTGCAGTTAGGTAGACTGCATAAGTCTGGGGATGTAATATACTGAATAAGGATTACAGCTAGTAATATTGTATCTTGTACTGAAAATTTGTGAAGAGACTAGATTTCTACAGTTTTTATCACACACACCCATGAATATGTTAATTTGTTTGACTGCTGTAATCATTTCACTGTGTATATGTATATCAAAACATGATGTATACCTTAAAACATGTTGTACCCCATAATGAATTTATAAATTTATAAAATATAAAAATTTTTTTAAAGTTAGGTGACTTGCTTAAAATTCATTAGTTTATTCAGCAGTATTTGTTGAGCATGTACTGCATGCTGTGGACACTGAGTTAGGTTGCAATGGTAGAGCAGTGAATAAGATACACAAAATCCCTGATTCCTGCCTCCTTAATAAGCTAGACACAAAAGGACAAATACTGTAGCATTCCGTTTATGTAAATATCTATGAAAGGCAAACTCATAGGGTCAGAAAGCCAGATTAGAGGGCTGGGGGAATAGGAGAGCTATTGCTTAATGATTACAAAGTTTCTGTTGGGGCAATGAAAAAGTTTTGGAAAAAGATGATGACAGTAGTTATATAACATTGTGTATGTACTTAATGCCACTAAATTTTACACTTAAAAATGGTTTAAATGGCAAATCTGAGTTGTACACTTCAAATGGGTGAATTGTATGTTATGTGAATCATATCTCAATAAAACTGTTTTAAT